GAATCTTTTGTCGAGTATATGGTAAGGAAGATGACAACATGAGAAATCACAATGGCAGCTAATAAATCAAAAGGCCTCTTGGCAAAAACCTACAAATTACTGATTGACCTAAGTAAAAAGGAGTCTGTCTTCAGGATAAGGTGAGAAAAAGAAGTGATATTTACTATGCCAGAATTGAGATGATTTAAGATTTGGCATACAGTAAAAATCTGCACTAAGTTTATCAGTAAGGGAAATACAGTACAAGCTTTTATTGCACCAATATTTAACTCTTGCCAGGTTGAATAGAATGTTTATGGAAACAAATGCTAAGTGTTGAAGTGTCTGGCTGTAAATGCACAACTATATTACACATGTGGTGGGAATGTCAGCAAGCTTATGAATTTTGGAAGCAATCTGAGTCAATAATATTAATGGGTTAACACTGAGATTTTCCCCAGTGTTGATTTTAACTGGACTGAGGAGGATATTCCTGGATTCTGAAATCATGACCAAGCAGTTCTTGAAATAAGGATGAAATGAGTACAGTAATGCATAAGGATGAAATGAGTACAGTAACTTTAAAGAAACACAAGCCACACTGAAATATACTCACCAAAGTTTGTGCAAATCCTCACTGCTCTTGCCTCGGAGCTGTTCTACTGTCCAAGAATCCCCTGTGGAATCCACAAAGCGCATCAGTGTTTTGGCAGGGGGACAATGACTGCTCAAATCTATATGGGGAACTGTTCTAAGGACCCAGCCAGACTGAAATCTGCTTTGCACTCATGAAAGCTTCACCAAAAAATGAAAGTTAGAAAAGGTGATATAAAAGATTCCTCAACATTATCATGTATAATCATTATCATGTATAATCAAATATTTTTAAATGAACAGAATTAAATATAAATAATGCTAACATATTATTGGACATAATGATATCTTCAGGTAACATATTCTGAATTAGCGTGCACACCTGAACAGTGATTTTACAGACACATGAAGATATACGCCAGCACAGAATGTGCTGCTATTGAACTTTTACAATCCCACCTAGCTTACATATCCACAAAGTGGGAGGCCAGAAGGGGAGCCAAAATAAACAGATTCTGAGTATCTTACCAGATTTGACTTCTGTCTTTCCCCAGTTTTGGGGGTCATCAAAAAATTCCTCCAGCCCATTCCGAGGCAAGGAGGTATGAAGCAACATACAGGGAGAGACTGCTTCTACTTTTGTGGCATTCTTGTGCAGGTTGTTAAGGATGAATCTGAAGGACAATAAAATAAGATTTTTAAAAAAACAACAACAAAATGATATAGGCACACACACAAAAGCCTATCAGGGATGCTGTAGCAGTGAATATTCTGCATCAGCAGGAGAATGACTAGGTGACTTTTGAAGGACCCTCCTATTCTACAATTTCTTATCAAATTTACCTAGTTTAAAGCAAATGTTCGAAGTGTTTAAGTGGTTTTTGAAAACCGAATACCTGAACTAAAATCACTTTTTGAGGAAACCTAGATATCTGGACCCTGTATGGTGGGTGACCCCTCTAGCAAGCTAGTCTATGTAACAGCTATACTATGGAAGCCCACTTTTTCCCCTAGAGAAGGCTGCAACTTATTATGTACAAATCAAATCGAACTCCCTGAACACAGTTGAACTTTGATAACATAACATCATAGAACTGTGGAGTTGGAAGGGACCCCAAGCCCCTGAAATGATGTTTAGTCAGAATCTGCTTTCTTGCAACGTAGAAGCCATTGCTATGGGTCTACCCTCCAGAGCAGGAGAAAACAAGCCAGTTCCATCCTTCCATGGGGACAGAACCTTGAGATATTTGAAGATGGCAACTCAACACCAGGAAGAACTTTCTGACAGTAAGAGCTGTTGGACGGTTGGAACGGTCTCTATTGGAAGGTGGTGGACTGTCCTCCCTTGGAGGTATTTAAAGCAGAGGCTGCCTGGCTGTCAGCTGCGGATGCTTGAGCTGAGATTCCTGCATTACAGAGGGATGGACTAGATGACGCTCAGGGTCCCTTCCAACTCTGCAATCCTATGATTCATCTACCTCACTGAACGTGGCAGACTGGTGAGCCTACTGGTTTCCCTATTGCCACCCTGTGAGATCAGAATGGTCAGTGCTTGGATTGCAAAGTTGGAGAAAGGGGGAGTTAAAAATACTAAAACAATTAACAAACGTCCTCCCCCACGGATTCCTTAATTGGCGATATTATTATTATTATTATTATTATGGGTCAGTCTCAAGGGCAGCCCCATGTACAGCGAGTTACAATAATCCAGTCTGGAGGTGACCGTCGTGTGGATCACAGTGGCTAGGTCAGGGTGAGAGAGGTAAGGAGCCAACTGCTTAGCTTGGCGGAGATGAAAAAATGCCGCCTTTGTTATAGCTGCAATCTGCGCCTCCATGGAAAGGAAGGTGGCGAAGATTACACCCAAACTCTTAACGGACGGTGCTGGCACTAATTGCGCCCCCGCAAGAGATGGGAGTTGCCCCCCCAATCCCATATTGTACCGACCCAGCCAAAGGACCTCTGTCTTCGAAGGATTTAACTTCAACCGGCTCCCACATAATCATCCAGCCACAGCTTCCAAGCATCTGATCAGTGTGTCTGGGGCCGAGTCAGGATGGCCATCCATCAACAGATAGTAATTATAACACAATAATAATTTTATTCATTGTACCCCGCTCATGTGACTGGGTTTCCTCAGCCACTCTGGGCGGCTTCCAACAGAAAGCCCTAAACGGCCTCGGTCCTGTATAGCTGAAGGAGCGTCTCCACCCCCATTGCTCAACCTGGACACTGAGATCCAGCACCGAGGGCTTCTGGCAGTTCCGTCATTGTGAGAAATGAGGTTACAGAGAACCAGATAGAGGACCTTCTCGGTAGTGGCGCCCGCCCTGTGGAACGCCCTCCCTTCAGATGTGAAGGAAATAAGCAGCTATCCTATCTTTAAAAGACATCTGAAGGCAGCCCTATTCAGGGAAGTTTTAAATATTTAATGCTGTATTGTTTTTAACACTTGATTGGGAACCGCCCAGAGTGGCTGGGGAAACCCAGCCAGATGGACGGGGTATAAATAATAAATAAATTATTATTATTATTATTATTATATATAAAAAACGTAATGAAACATTAAGCATTGAAAAAGTAGCTTGGGCGGGGTATAAATAATATATATATATATATATATATAGAGAGAGAGAGAGAGAGAGAGAGAGAGATGAAACAGTAAACATTGAAAAAGTAGCTTGGGAGGGGTATAAATAATAAATTATTATTATTATTATCATTATCATTATTAATTATTATTATTATTATTATATAAAAAACGTAATGAAACATTAAGCATTGAAAAAGTAGCTTGGCTTGAACTCGGCACGGGGGGAATTCAAGGAATAAAAGGCACACGGTAAAGCGGAGGTCGCAGGGCGCCTCCCTCCTCCCGCCCGGCGGCTGCCCACCTGGGAGGAGAGGACGCCGACGAGCCGCCCCAGGTCGCTGCAGCCAACCTCAGGAGCTTCGAGAACGGCCGGCAAAGCGCCGCCACCGCCATGACATCTCCCGTTTCCCACAATGCTCATCGGCCGCCGCCGGAAGGCGTCGGCCCAGGCCCATAGAGATTGCGAAGGAAGTACGCAGGGGCACGCAGGCCTAGCTTCCGGTTTGGGTCGGAAGCCGCTCTTCCTTGGGGTTTCCTTTGGGTTCAGAGCAGGGTCTACCCTCCGCAGCGCTGAGCATTCCTAGAGCGGACCTCCTTCCCCTATTATCCTTTAAGAGGGTGGAGGGGAAACGGTTCAGTTTGAGAAGGAAGCGCTATGTGTATACCTCTAGCTTTTCCTTTCCCCACAACGCTCCTTGCCTTCGAGCGCATATACAAGAAAAATCGAAGAGGCGACCGTGTGAGGTCGTCCTCCGCAGTAAAAACGTCGGTCTTTGGGCACCTTAAAAAGCGACACCACGACCAGCCTTTCGTGAACTATACGCAAGAAAATGAATCCAGCTCATCGTGTATTTTTAAATCCGTTTTGGCTGCCGTGAAAATCGCATTGGATTGAGAAATTCAGGATTTTTACCGTTGACAGTCACTGAGCAGTGGCTGGACTCCGCCAAGAAACGAAACATAGCGAGCCTTTCCTGCTCTTGTTCAGATCTCATTTTTGAGGGGTTGCTTTGATTTAGCTTTTTAAACATTCACAAATGAACTCTTCAGATGCAAACACTGCTCAAGGCCTCCATTATTATTATTATTATTATTATTATTATTATTATTATTATTATTATTATTATTAACGGTGCAAGTTAGTGAAGTGTAACTCTGTGTAACAGAGCATCCAGCCGATGCTTAAAAGAGATTTGGGCTCTGACTTCTAATGTGCAATATGGATAGTGGATTGAGTTGCAGGGAATCATAATGATGATAATGATAATGATGATAACAACAACAACATGTCGCTTTATCTTGCCCAAGGCAACCCAAAGCGACTTACAACCAAACAACCACTTGCATGAATCGCTCTTACGCTCTTATCCAGTACAGTTCTTACCATGTCTACTCGGAAATAAACCTAATTGAATTCAGTGGTGCTTACTGGAGAAATACAGCCTTTTTTTCCTTTAAAGGATTTTGCATGCAATAGGACCCTGGACGTTGCCAAGGGGGTGGGGGTGGGGCAGCTGCCCTCCCTTAGATCAAGTAAAACCATAGTAAAACATAACTAACTGACCAATCACGTCGGTTCTGCGCCCTCTAACAAAAATCCTGACTACGCTCGTGAATAGGACCCGGTTATCTTTTGCCTGGGGGAGAAAGACGGGAAGAGTCGCAACTGCACTTCCTACGAGCATCTAATAGAGAAACCCCGTCGGGTTCTGCGAGCGGCGCATTGAACTCGGAAACCGGCTCTACGTGGCAGTCTTCTATTAGTGAATCTACGCGCCGCCCTGGCGCCCGTTCTAAAGATGGCGGCGACGCGCCTTCAGCCCCCGCTCGCCGAACGCACGTAACCTTCCCTCGCTGTTACCTTGCCAGTCGCAGGCATGGCGGCCATGAGCCTCCTGCTCCGAGCGGCGGCTGCTTTCGCGGCCAGGAGGACCTTTCCCGGCCCGGGTCTCTGGGGTCGCTTCTCCCTGCCTGGGCGAGCCGCCGGCCGCTCTGTGCTCATCGGTATGGCTTCGCTAGGGGACGGGGGGATCTTTGGGGTGGGGTGGGGGTTTCCCGTCTGGTTGACCTTGAGGATTTGGGACAATCGCTGAGTTTTACGGTGTGTGTGTGGGGGGGGGGGGGCGTTGCCACCATATATGTGCAATAATAATATTTTTACATATAATATCTAATTGTATTATATCTAATTGCCGTGACTCCACTGCCTGGGAAACCTATTGCGCAGGCAGAAGTTCAACTGGTGAAGGTTCCTCCTAACCTGCTTGGTTTGGGCCAGCCATGCAAATAATAATAATAATAATAATAATAATAATAATAATAATAATAATAATAATTTATCTATACCCCACCCATCTGGCTGGGTTTCCCCAGCCACTCTGGGCGGCTTCCAGCCGAATACAGTGGTACCTCGGGTTACATATGCTTCAGGTTACATACTCTTCAGGTTACAGACTCCACTAACCCAGAAATATTACCTCGGGTTAAGAACCTTGCTTCAGGATGAGAACAGAAATCGTGTGGCGGCAGCGGGAGGCCCCATTAGCTAAAGTGGTTAAGAACAGTTTCAGGTTAAGAACGGACCTCCGGAACGAATTAAGTATGTAACCAGAGGTACCACTGTTTTAAAAACAATACAGCATCAGACATTAAAAACTTCCCTGAAAAGGAACACCTTCAGTTGTCTTTTAAAAGTAAAATAGTTGTTTGTTGCCTTGACATCTGCTGGGAGGGTGTTCCACAGGGGGCTTCTGCCACTCAATCGCAGTCCTTCCCCCAAGGGCTACTTTTCTCGGAGGAAGGGTGTGCTTTCTAAGGCATGTCAATGATGAAAATAATTAGCAAAGCAATCCTGTCTCGGCTGGGTCAGAGGTGGACAAGTCCCTTTATTCTTCTTCTTCTTATTATTATTATTTATTGAATTTATATACCGCCCTATACCCCGGGAGTCTCAGGGCGGTTCACAGAATAAAACCAAGATATAAAATCACAAAATACATAATAAAAATAAAAGCAACAGCCCAATAGCCCCCCCCTCCAAAACACCCCCCCCACAGCCTCGGTTTTTTGCTTTGCAATAATAGCTGTGTGGGAATGTGCAAAAACAGAAGAGAACACAACCAAAGGTCTCTTTGTCGGCTTGACTGGGTCACAGAAACCACAGCTGGCTTTGCACTAACATTTGATTTTTGCAGCTCCGGTACGCCATGGCAGTGGAGGTGGGAAAAGAATGTTCGTCATCCAGGCGACGGATTTTTACGACAGGCGATTCCTGCTTTTGTTGGTGAGTCTACACTCTTTGGGGAGGGAGGAATTGTAGGACACCAAAAGGTGTCACACGGGATATTCTGTGATATTCTGTGTTCTAAATGCTACTTTATTCAGTCTTCCTAAGCCCAAGGTTTACCTTAGAGATGGCTTCTTGAGCTTTGTAAGCAGAGCAGAGATACCTGTGGACCAGGGCCAGATTTAGGTTTGATGAGGCCCTAAGCTACTGAAGGTAATGGGGCCCTTTATATGTGATATTTTAGGGAGCAGACACTAGCAGGCAGGGCCCATTACTTACATCATAGGAGCCTACACAACACAAAACACTTTTGCTGTATGTAGGTTTTATTTTATTTGTTTTTTATCTTATATTTTGGAAATGTACATCCAGCTTTTTTTCCTTTAAATTTTTTTGGGGGCCCCAACAGTGTGGGGCCCTAAGCTATAGCTTGTTTAGCTTATACGTAAATCCGGCACTGTTGTGGACTATAAAAGTCGCCTTTCTGTTTTGCAAGAGGATATACGATATACAGGTGGGTTTTTTTTTAGCTTATTGGTAACTATAGGATTAGAAAGGGGGCAGTATCAACTCCACTTTTCCTAGAGAGCCCTTGTACAGTGCAACCTGTTACCGTGGGATAAGGGTGGCTTCAACTTTGCAGCAGTTCTGGTGACTGTTGTTTGTTTCAAGGTTGGACGTGAGCCCAGCTACAATGCTGGGATTCTTGTATCATCGGCAGAACTATTGGGTTGGGGTCATCATGTTTAGGTTGGGATCCATGTATGCACCAAAGAATTGCTCTTTTGTTTTCATGGCAGCACTTCCTGTTGCCCAAGAGATAAGTCTCTGTTCAGTGGCTTGCCTCTTCAGCAGCTTGTCGAGAATCCAGCTCGACATCAGTAGGAAGATCAGTAAGAAATCAGTCTCACACCAAGATGACTTGAAGAAAAAGCTTTGGCTTCAGCCGTGCAATGTTTATTGTGTGCAGTAAAAAATAAATCATCCTCCCTCCTCCAGCACTGCGCTTGCTCTGTCTGGTACTCAAAAAGTAACAAATCAAAGGAATGTAACCTTGCTTTTGCCCACAGACAAAGAGAGTGTTATGCTACGTGAGCCAATCATTAGTCTAGCATGAGGTGTTAACGTGCTCATCATGCTCTTAGCAATATCTCGTGCTGTAAAATCACTCTGCAATAATAAGAACTCTGCTCATGCTCTTATGTACAAGCAATCATTTTCCCACATGCCCTCTTTTCTTGTTTATGTTATTAGAGGAAAAGAGGGACCATTAATCAGAATTGCAATCCCATTACCTAAGCATTTATATTTTGCAACATCAATTCCCCTTATAATCCCTGTGGTGGGCCTTGGTCGGAACCACCATGCAATACATTGGGAAATCAAAAAAAAAGCAAGCATTGAATACATAATAAAACCATCAATACATGCAATTACAATCAATAATAAATTTCTTAACCATAATCCATTAGGTAACCAAGAAAATAACCAATCCCATGGATCAAAACCTTCAGGTGGATTCAAAGGATTATGGGCTATCATTTGTTCCATATAATCGATAATAGCAGAGATATTGGTTGATTGATCAGTTATATACATACAACAATGAGAATGAATTAAGGCATAAATTCCACCTTTAGAGGCAAGGATTACATTTAAAGCATAAAAAATTTGTAAAGCAACTTCTCTTATTTCTGACATTTTTCTTCTTCTTTTTTGTTAATTATTTTTAAAACAAAGATGGTATAATTAAACAAAGCTTCGGTCCAATTTGCCACAGAATAACCATCAATCAGATTGAAGCAAATGTGCAGATTTACTGCTCTTTCTCTTCCAGTCCAACCAAACATAAAAATCTCTACACGCAGCCTGTTGTTCATAGGTCGTGTAGGTTGTGACATTATTAACTGAGACTTTTGGCCTATCACTCATAGTGGTAATAAAAAAAAATTAAAAAAAGCAAGAAGATCCATTAACATACTCATAGGTCCAATTACAATATGGATAATGACCTAAAAATATACTGCTAGTATGATTAAAACGAAAACAATAAGACACTATTTCTGCAAGCAACAAAACACAGGCGATAAACTTATACGATTGTCCTTCATATTATTGCTAATCTTAAATGAAGCATTTACTGGAATACTAGAATACCACCACCAAAAAAAAGGTTCAAAGCTTTGAGAAGCTTTTTTAAAATCATTTTTCTCAGCAGCTAAAAGGCACTAGCCAAGCATATTTCGCTTCAAGCATATTCCGCTTGCTGTAACTAAAAAGATTGCAACAAGGTCGAGAACAGAGCCCATTGTCTTCGCGGGCCTTGCTAAAAAACCATATTGCAACTTTCTTTCTGTCCGGGAACCATGCCAAAGCACAAAAATGAAACAACTGGAACACACTGAAATCCCCTCACCCCCTCCCCTGCCAAGAGTCCACAATAGTTCCAAGACAGCTTTCTGTACATGCTCAGGGGAATACATCATAGGGCAGGAATCCTGAGGGAGGAGAAACAAAAATATCTGGGGGGTAAAATCCAAGTGATGCCAATAAGGATGAGAATGGTAAATTATTCCAATGGCCACTTCCGAGCAACCTGTGTGATATTTCATGGCTCGATTATTGGCATGTAAAACCCACAATCCAGAAAAAGCCCAATGTCTCGAGCTTGAGAAATGGGCAACGAAAAAGATTTTGCCAGAACTTTAGCATTTTGATGAAATACAGAATGACTTTCAAATGGGTCTGAAAACAATGAAAAAATACCATTCTTCAAAGCATGGTCTGCCTGGGCATTAGCTTCTGCCAAATACCCAGGGTAGCCAGTGTGAGATCTGAGATAGGCTACATAAAACTGACAAGTTCTAGCTTGTACCAAGTTCTGCAAAGTGGAAAACAATGTAAACAAATTTTGATCAATAGCAAGGAGTGATATAAGACAATGGTAAGACATTCAAAAGATTATATACATAATGAGAATCCACAATGAGATTGAAAGGGATATTAGCAAACTGTTGAAATGCCAAAATTACAGCTGCCAATTCAGCACGTTGTGCCGAGGACTGCTCAGTAGTATACAAACTTTTCCATTCCCCCTCCTCTTCCCACACCACCACCCCTCTGGATTAGGTACCATCAGTGAACACAGTAAGGGCGGAGGGTAAGGGTAGGAGGGACAAAGCAGTTCGCAAGACATAACGTAGCCCTGTAAGGAAAGACAAACGAGGGTCTCTAGGAGGATTGTGAATGATATTTCCCAAGAAATCAGCAAAAGCTATTTGAGTAGAAACGGCTGTCATCATCAGATGCTTAAATTCTTCCTGGGAGAAGGGCAGGTACACTGACTGTAAGTCCATTCCAGAGAGAGCAAGGGCTCAATGTCGGCCCTTAGCAACAAGGTCCATGACGCTGTTGGGTGTAGCATACACGTTCCGCGGGAGATGAGGCAGGTGAAGCCACTCCACAATAGACACAGTCCCAGGCTTCTGGCCTGTGGTGTACAATATAGCTGTTGGAAGGAGCGGGGTGGCAAATACTGCAAGTGATAATTGTGCCATGGAAAGAGAAGGAATCCTGTCCACCATACATCTGCGGAGATGGTTGTTCACAGTGGTTAGAGCCTCTTTCATTGCAGAGGTGACTGTGATCTTGTCTGCTGGATCCTTATGTCCTTTAAGGGCAGAAAATAGTGGAGACAAAGTGGAGGTGGGCAGGTCCAAATAACTCTTTATCCAATTCAGCTGTCCAAGAATTTGTTGTAAATCCACCAATTTAAGATGATCAGGGAACTGTAGTTGAGGTGTGACTGGAATGGCTGCAGATACTGTCAGCTTGTGTCCCAGGTACGCAATAGGTAAGGTCCGCTGGATTTTTTCCTTAGCCACTGTCAATCCAACAGGTTTTATCCTTTGCAGGATTTTGGGACACGGTGGAGGACAGAGCTGCGGCTAGCAGGCGAGCTTTATGCATCTCAGTGCCCACTGACTGGCAGGCTTTAAGCATGTCTGCAATGGCTATATTTGATGTTGTCATCAAAGGGCGCAATGCTTGCTTACAGTCCTCATGTGCATGATCAAACGCAAGCTGGCGTACAATCAGTTCTTGTGCTGCCAGGTCCTGAACTTGCCACTTGAAGGTATTATACAAGCGATCAACAAATTGTCCATAGGGCTTTGCAGGGCCCTGTCTGATGCTGCCCCACTGGCCATTGCGCTCATTCCTGTCATCAGGGACAGAGGCCAGAGCCTCTTGGGCTGAGGCTGTGGTGGCTGCCCAATACATAGGATCAAGGGCCAACTGTTGGGCAATAGGAAGAAAATTGCCTCCTCCCGTCAGCCCATCGAGAACATCAGTTTGGGTCAACATGACGGGGGCTGGGGGTGTAGGGCCATTGTCCTTGACAGAAGAATACAGTTCCTTTATGAATCTCAAATCAAACTGTTCGTGCCTGGCTGGGCCTCCCCCCAGGGCGGGAGGAACACTCACAGGAAAAAGATTAGAAGTTGTAGAATCAAAAGCTAGCAACGGAGCAGCGGCGCGGAGAGATTCTTGGAGAGGAGTAGTAACGGGAGGCGCAGGAAGCGAAGAATGCGGAGGAGGGACGACAGAAGCCGAAGGAGGAAAAATGTCTGCCTGTTTAGGAGGCTGATAAAACGGTGCTTCTGAAGGCAGCATGAGGATTGGGAGGGGGGGCAAAGGAGCTGAAGCAGCGGCCAGGAGGAGATTTGTAGGAGTTAGGCTTGAGATAGCCTTATAAACCTTACAGCAGGCATGCAAAACTTTGACATCAATCTGAGGATGGTTTTGGAAAAATTGTCCTATTTTTTCCCAGTCTTTTAAACTATAATTCCCATTCTGAGGAAACCAGGGACAGTGAATATCCAATGCTTCTATAAGAGACACGATATCAGCATCTGAGACAATGAGGCTGTTGCTGGCCAAGAGAAATTTAAGGTCTTCAGA